AAGGTCTTATCCAAAGGGATAAGAGTATCAAACAAAGAAAGAACACACTGGAGAAACAAGGCAGAGTAGACCCGTTGCAGTGGAGAAAGGGCGGTAAAGACACTCGCGCAACCTGTAGTCGGCCGATCCAGCTATGGGACACCCTTCAATCTACTCGAGAGAGGATGGCGTGAAATCTCCAGAACACCGCGGCAGGGATCCAGATCGACGGTGGCCAGATCTGGACAACCAACGATCCCCTACACCGGAAAGAGTCGAGGGTCACCGGACTTGTAAAAACAAGCTGTACAAGAACACAAAACAACACAAACAACCAAAAAACACAAAAAAACCAAAAGGGGTCATCGGAAAGGGACCCAGAAACCGACAGACCTCGAATGGTCATCGGAGGAAACCGAATAACCCCGAAGGGTCATCGGAGGAGGGAGCACAGGCCGGCTCCACCCAGCCGCTCAAGCATCAAAACCTCGGAAGCTCAAAGGCTTCCAATCAAAACAAACGCAGCGCCGGAGAGAAAGTAGAAGCAAGAGAGAAGGGAGAGAAAAGGGGGGGGGGGGGGAAGAGAGTTCCAAAAGTTGTTGATTGAATGAGCGAAGCGAGCCGAAACAAAAATATTAGGACCTATTATTTATTTATAAAAGTTAGGTACGTAGGACATAAGAGAGATTTAATATTTATTTTGTGTTAATTATAATATAAAATAATATATATTATTCTCAATCTTATAGAGTTGTAATTCAAAAACATTGCTCTCTCACGAAAATAAAGGAGCTGGAGCTCAAACGTCATCCCGTAGCAGCTTAGCACATTTCTGCTGGAGAGTGGTGTAAGCCTTGCAAGTACAAACACTCGAACACTGGCCAACTAGAAGGAGAAGAACCTTACTTCCCGATTCCCAGCCACCAGACCATCAAGAGCCCCAGTACAGGTTTGCTCATTTTGTTCTTGTTGTTTTATAGGGAAAATAAAGCATGCCAAAGGGGAAGGGGGCGGGGGGGAATTTAGTACAGAAACAAACCAATAGATAAATATTGCGGCATATTAGAGGATATAAGCCAAAGTTAAAAACTTGTTAGATATTGTATGTATGATATGTGTGAGATAACAAATTTTTTATGTCATGTTATGAATTTTATATTAATGTGTTTTTAAATTTTTTGAGATATTAAATTTTCATTAGTTAAGATATTATGTGAAAATTTAGTTTATTAATCTCTCATTTCAAATAATAAAATCTTATTTATTACTAGTTCATAACCACTATTTTTTAACTAACATAAAGATTCATACAAGGAAGGTTATTCAAAAGTGAAATAACAGCTAGAGAAAGGAAAAAACAAGGTAACAACTAGAGAAAAATAAAACAAGGTAACAACTAGAGAAAGATAAAGTAAGGTATCTCTAGAAGAGAAGCTCAGGCTTTCTTGGCCATGCCGAAGGCAGTAGGGCAACTATAAACATCGCAAAATGTTTGTAAACCCATCATCAGAATCAGTAGCAGAGTAGCAAAAGCCGCCAGAAACTTCCACGAAGAATACACATACTTCTTCAGGACCCTTTTCATCCTCACCACTGGATACGTATTGTAACATTTATTAGTCTCCTCAATTTGGTCGTCAATGGTGGCATCTTTGGACCTCATTGTTCCGGTCATCCCGTTAAAGATCTCTAGGATCTCAGCATCGCTCATTTGATATTTTTCGTCGATCTTAAGGACGTTAAACTTCTTTAACAAACGAAGATCTTCAACGGTGTCCACAATTGCTCCCATTAACTCAGCATATCGTCTGAAATGTAAGAATTCTGGCTTTGCCATAGTTTCGTACATTACAAGATTTCTGAATACCACTAAGGAGGTGCTGTTCAAAGTGATCTTCGGAAGGTATAGTGTCTTGGTCTTCCCATCAAATTTAACATATCTGGTGCATGCCACCAAAAAGAGCTTGGTAAGGAATCAATTTAAACTTGTCTGCAATAAATTTTTTAGGTATTAAAAAAATAAAAAATAAAAAATAAAAAAAAAAACCTCGTGCCGCCTTCTCCAGGTTTGATTTTTATTCTGGCTTTGGACAGTTCATATACTGAAGGAATTAACACTTGCTTTTCTTGGAACATTGTCTCCACGCTTACACCAAAGACACGTAGAATATCCAGAAACAACTTTAGAATCAACAAAAAGATTTGGATGGGGCCAATATTTGTAAATATGGACATGTTATTCCGCAGCTGGGAAAAGCGCGAACAATCTAGTGGTCCATTTCTAGCTTCAGGGTCCCCTGCCGAGTCTGCTGCTGGTGTCTTAGTTGACTGATTCGTCTTCGTCTCCTTACTTTCCTTTTTGAAAGTTATGTATTGGTACAGAAGATCCAACACATGATGATGCTGCAGTGATTTATGTGGGCATTCAGGCCACTCCCCTTTGATTGGCGAGATCTTTTGGCAAAATTTGAGAAACAGGTCCAGTAAATATTCCTCTGACTCAGAGCAAGTCTTGGATAATATCTCTTTTAACACAAACCTGTACCGGTAACAACTTAATTAGCGGATTGATCAAGTTAATTAAGTACATATATATTCGAATCAAATTCAAACCTTGAAATCTATAATTAATTTACTGAGTTGCATAATAACATATAAAACCAAACCACGGAATCTGGTTCTCCAGCATCAGGACGTCTCTAAGGATGGCATCCTTGGGGAGCATCTTCCCCGAGGAAGAGATGACTCGAAGATACGTAGGACAACCAGCGATTTCGTTAGAGTGGACGAATTCATCGAGTATTGCCAGCAAGAAGAGCCCATCGATGATCATCATCAAGGCCAATTGATCATACCATATAAACTGGACACCGCGATAAGATTCATGGATATCCTTTCCCTTATGCTTGAGCTCCACAGTTAGCTTTTTAGTGCGCTCCTCAGTGAGTTCAGAGTTCCTCAATTTATGTCGAAAGTTCTTGCCTTCATCAATTTTGTAGTTCTGCATCTGGTGGAGGTTGTGATCTAAATGACGGTATGGTCCGAGTGCAACTAGCTGGGGAGTGTAGGCCTCATGATCTTTTTGACGAAGAGATTCTGGTACCCGAAAGATGCAGGCAACTGGTTCTATTTTTCCTATTTCATTCTCGTTGCTTTGATCAATGAGAAGCGCAGTCATCTTCTTCTTCCAACTCTCTTCAATGGAAGAATGAGCGTAGATTTGGTTATGTGAGTTGTGGCTAAGCATGGTTTTTTCTTTTCTCTTTTTGATGTTAAGTTGTGATTGTGGTTATGCTATGCACTTCTACTCTCTTGCTATTTATAAACAGAGTTCATTATTTGGAGGCCTTGTCATTTAATGGTAAATGTTTTGTAAATTAATGTAATTCAAATTATAAAAGTGAGAGTAGGTTAATTACATTGGTGTCAGTGCATTCTTAGTCTTTGGTTTGAGGTAACGGATTATAAATTAAGAAGTATTACTTTATGCACGTTTTATGAAAGGAAAAATGCAATGTGAAAGCAAATTGGTTGTTAGCGAGAGGGAAATTCTCGAAATTAGCCTCAACTTTTAAGAAGAAAATCAATGTCAATTTCATCCTTGTGCTTTCAAGGAAGGATCAAATTAGTTCCTCATCTACTAAAAATCATTCATTCAAACATAAAAATATACTATATGGTATGTATGACATAAATGGTTGAGTGCAATGGTTTTTATTTTTTATTTTTTTTATCTTGGTTGAGTGCAATGTATGACATAAATGGTTGGGTGCAACAACATCTCCGCTTCAAAATTAAAGGTTAATCCAAGTTTTTATTTATTTATTTATTTTTTAAAAAAAGTGAAATTCCTTAAATTCCTTTTTTTTTTTTTTATCATTAATTGCCATCTTTGTATTAAAAAAAAAATCAAATTGATTTATGAGATTATTTTTGTTGCTGATGTTGCACGCGTGGTTTTTTCCCTTTAGAAGGTTCCCAAAAATGGAGTTGTTAACGTGAAAATTTAAATATTACATGGCAAAGCAGGTATTGCTTAATATTTTTTTTTTGTTTAATCAAATCATCAAGGGAGCAAGATAATATATATATATATATATACTAGTATATAAGAAGAGAAATATTAAAGGGCCTAATTAAACAAAAAAAGAACTCAAGATTATTCGGCAGAAGGAAGACAAGGGGATTAATTAAATAAGAACAAAAAAGTAGTAACAAAGATCAGTTTTTAAGAAAGGTCAAAATATGTTTAAAGGGCTTCATTTTACAGAACAAGATGAACAAGAATAAAAGGGTAAACAAAAGATGTCTTGAGGGCTTAACTGAAAATGAATCAAAACAATCAGGATTGATTTATGAGAAAAGCTAAAAGACAATACACAATTTTTCATTTTTGTTTCTTTCTACCCTTTGGGGGATAAATAGAACCATTTACTTCAGGGGAAAAGGGCTTAGGTGAGTTAGGTCAGAGACATGTTTCACAGAGCAGCCAATGGCTTCTCCTTCAAGGTGATAAAATGGAAATTTAACTTTGGGTCATGGAGTGCTGCCGGTCAAAATTGGAAATATATATTAATAAACACAACCATGTGATGATGGTGATAAAATGAAAAGGGATTTGTTAGTAAACTAACACCAACAGATTAGAAATTCTTACAGCGTTTTGTTATAAATCACTTGCTTGATTTTTGGCATCAATCAAGAAAGGAATAAGGCCAGCGTTCTGAGTTTCCACGCGGGGGACATAATTGATGAGAACCCATATTTGAAAACGCAAATGCTTTCGTTTCCACCTTTTATATATTTTAATTTAGCCAAGGTGAAACGTGGCAGTCAGATCAGCAGATGCAATGGATTTAATTAACCGCTCGAATTAAGCAACATTATGCCAAAAAAGAAGCACGCTTGGAATTACAATAAAAGTAAAGAAAATGATTTAAAAATAATATTTTATTATTTTTAATATAATTTTATATATTATTTAAATAATTAATTTTTATTTAAAATTTTTAATATTAAATATATTTTTTTATTGAATAATATATAAAAATTATATAAAATAATTGTATAAAAAATAATCCATATATAATTAGGCGGTAAATAATATACATGGGAGCCACGTACAGAGTCAACGAGGACTAGAGTTATAAAACGAAAGTTCATATCATGTACCCTTTCAGATAATGCTAATATTGCAGGCTAAAGTTGGAGTTGGCTTTACTACCATGTGTAACCGTGAACACTATTTAATTTGTATGTTTTAGGTAACCTCCTTAAAACATTATAGAGTACATATATAATCCGATCCTCCGCTGTCTGATGGGCTAAAATGACTATGAAAAGCTCTAAGTAATATAATAATGAAAAAAAAATGTTAAATTTATGAAAATTATGATTAATTAAATATTAAAAATAATTAATTTAAATTTATTTGAACAATTAAAAAATAGAATTTTAATTAAAAATAATAATGAAAAAATAACAATTAAAATAAAACTAATCAACATATGAGGTATTAAAATATTAATTTCAGCATAATTAATTAACATATATTTTAAATTTTTGTACTTTCAAGATATTACTACTCATATGACAATAGGATTTTTTATTCGATTTAATATACTTGTTTAAGTTATACCAAATTTATTTTTACTTATTAACCTACGATATTTATATATGAATTTAAATAGATAAAAATGCATTATATTTTGTAAAATTCTCTAGTTTAAGTAAAAAATTAAGTTTACTTATCACTAATGCTACATAAATCTTGTTGATTCATTTTTTACTTTCATTCAATTCATGATATATATTATTAGAAACTAATGCATAAAATCTCTTTTTAGTCTGAATTATACTTTTCATATCAATTTTAATGGTGATCAAGTATTAAAAGTATTAAGAATAATAATATATATTTATCATGAAATAATAATCTCAAAAAAATAAAAATCACAAAAATCGATATTGAATTGATTATATTACATCGTAACTCTAATTTTCGACCTTCTAAGCAATTTTGGTTAATGGCAAAATAGTAGTTATAATCCCTAACTTCTAGATTCCACTCAAGTTAATTCTCATGTTTTTGATCTCTAAGTTTGCTCCTAAAAATTATCATTTCTTTCAATTAAATCCTTTCCTATATAAAAAATGGAAATTATATAAAATCAAGTAAAATTTCATAAAACTTATTCAAATATCAATACTATCAAGGCAAAAATTTTACATTAATATGTGTTGAAAAATAATAAGAAATTGTAGAAAAATGAAAATGAATTTTCCGAGGCATGATCTCATTTTTGTTAAGAATTCAAAATTCTTCAAGATACAACAAAACTCAAAACTCTCTCCGAAATTAGATGTAGAACTTTGATTTTACATAGGAATTTATATTGCCTAAAAAGTTACTATTTATAAAGATGTATTACTATAGAAAAACACCACTTTATAGAGGTACCTTTAGGCTTTCAAAAGCTATATTTAATTTTCAAACATATCTTTTCAAATTCGAATTTAATAAAATAAATTAAAAAATTCGAAAATAATAAAAAATAATGTTATGGAAGTCAAGGCCCAAAGTGTCCCAAGTGGTCATCTTTGACTATGTATATAAGGGGCAAGACCCAATTTGCTTTGGATCTCACTTTACTTATCTATTTGTTAATAAAGAATATGTCTTTATTAACTCTTTTAAGTTCTCATATTTTCTTGATATGAGATGTTAACATTTGTAAATTATTCAACAATATGTATATAAATTCAATTTATCACTGTCCCATCCATTAGCCATTATAGTGACCTCCACTTTGTCCTTGCTTTAAATCATCCAAATGCCGTATGAAAGCAAATTGGTTGTTAGTGAGAGGGAAATTTTCGAAATTAACCTCAACTTTAAGAAGGAAATCAATGTCAATTTCATCCTTGTACTTTCTAAAGGATCAAATTAGTCCTTCATTTGCTACAAATGACTCGCCCAAACCTAAAAATATAGTATATGGTATATAACATAATAGGTTGAGTAAAACAACATCCTTGCTTCCAAAATTAAAGGTTAATCACATCCTTTAGTTTTTTTTTGGTTCATGAAGTGTCATCTTTGCATTTTCAAAAAAAGAATCAAATTGATTCATGGGATTATTTTTGTTGCTGCTGTGGTGTGGTTTTTTTCCATTTAATTAGAAGGTTCCAAAAATAGAATTGTTATTGTGGAAAATTGAATATTTATGCGGTGAAATTGGTCTCAACTCAATATTTTTTGCCTTTGAATCAACGAAAAATGATTAAGAGAAATTTTTATATAATTTTTTTAATAATTAGTTTTTGTTACACTATCAAAACTTGTAATATTAGATGCATATTTATTTATCTAATGATATGTAAAAGTTATAATTAAGAATTATACCAAAGATTGTTCGCATATCACTAGCCTTAAATCAAATTATCAACCAAGATCAAAATAAGAAGAAGAAGAAGAAGAAGAAGAAGAAAAACAACAAGAACAAAAATTTTGCAAAAGAGCTCAATTAAAGGGGGGGGGGGAATCAAGCTTGTTTTGCAAGAGAAGACATGGAACTTAATTAAATAAGAACAAAAAGTTACGAAGATCAATTTTCAACTATGGTCTAGGCAAAAACCTTTCTTAAGCCCTTGAACTTGCCCCAAAATAGCACTTAAGCCCTTAAACTAAAAATAAAGCAAATAAACCCTCCATCTTCACAATCGATACAAATAAACCCTTATCACAAATAGTCCAAACGATTAGATTCAACATGCACTGATTTCATTTTTTCTCTGGTGTGCACTATTCCACATAGATGTCATATGCTTATTTGGGTCAATGTTTTGAAAATCAATTTGGCCAGTTTAACTAGTTAGATCAATCAAATTGCTAGTTCAATTGAATATGAATAAATATAATATTATGTGACATATATAAATAGATTTGTAGTGATTCTAATGGTTGGTAGTGTTATTGTTATTGGAAAGATAGCGGAGTGTGGTGCTCTAGTGGCAAAAGTTATTTAAAATTTCCTTGAAATCGTGTGTTAAAACCCTAGAGGTGGCAAATCTAATGCTATTTTTACCAAAAACTTTAAATTGTCTGGTTGAATGGTTTAGCAGTTTGTATTGGTTCAAACAGTTCTATCAGTTTTGAACGGTTCAACTTTTTTATTGGTTTCAAATACCCACCTAACCTATTTATGTTAGTGGATACTGGTTCAATTAGCTTGACAGGCCAATCTAGTCCGATTTTTAAAACAATGATTTGGGTTGTCAAATCCAAG